CCAAGCTACTTTGAGTATCCGATAGGCCCTAGCCAGCAATCTCTACTGGCAATTTTAGAGAAATGTGAATTATGCAAAACTATACTTCCAAACTCAACCTTCCACAATCATTTTCAGTGGAGCTTTGAACTGACTTAGGATTCTCTGAGAGCTATATTTCTCTCCAGCCGAAACAGTATTTCCCAGATATAAAAATTAAATCTTATCAAAAGCACCTCAAGAATTTTCTAGGAGATATCAAATGCCTCTTGCCAAACAACATTCTGATAAGTCAAGAATAAAGTGTGAGTGTGAAACATACAGACTATATTTCCTTTAAATAATCAAGGATATAAAATAATAGGATGCTTGGTCAATTAGATTTGGGATGGTGTAGAAGGGAAAAAAAGAGTTAAATTCAAGCCTAGAATATAATTCTGTATACCTAATCTCAAAATAAGTTGGATCTTGCTGGCCACAAGTATCCATAATTCCTGAAAGAAGATAAAAAATTTTAAATATATTACATGTCCAGCTACATTTCAAATCCCTTCGTGGCAATATTTTTAAAAGAAGAACATACAAAATATATTACTTGTCCTTTCATTTCAGCTCTGCAACTGTGAGAAATTAAGATTCATTAAGCCAGATGAGTCCTCCCATCCCACTCCATGCTGAGCCAGCCCAAACGTGTGTAGGAGAGACCAGCACCAGCAGCACAGAATTACCTTCGAGGAATCGAGCTGATCTCAGCCAAAACTGCCATCTGTCTACAGTGAAATCTGTCAATTGTAGCTATTTATGAAATAGTTAGTGAAGCCTATAAATGATTCTATCTTACCTTGCCTACTCTCTCATCACAAATCATAGAGTTGCTTTTCTAAAAGGAGATAAGCATAGAATAGTCACTAGAAATATTCATGAAATGTAGACTGTTGCGATGACAAGTAAAAGAGGCTGAGCTTTGGCATCAAACTCTCTTACAGTCAAGTCCTGCTGCCATCTGCTATGTGATATTGGCTTACTTCTCTGTGAAATGGGGACAGTGATGTCTCTCCTGCCACATTCACTGGTAGTGGGAAAATGTCACTGAGAAAATAAACACAAAAGTGTCTGGTCATCTACGGTGGTTACTGAGCACATCGCTCTTTCATAGAACTTCCTTGTGATTTTCCATGACACGACAAAGAATTGGTAAGAGAAATACAGACTGAGTGGACAATGAAATTAATGACAGGTGGCTGGATCTAGGGTGTGTGATGCTGGGATCAGGGGTGTGTGATTACTGAATTAGTCCATTGATTGTTTTGACATAGGTCTGGGTAAGATTAAGGGTGCCCTACCTTGGGTGTGAGTGCTACTAAGGGTGTGTGGCCTGGGTAAAATATGAGGGATAAAAAAGAGGGTCGCTGCTTATAGATTGTAGTTTACTGCTGCTGCTGCCTCTGGCCTGCTCTGTGATGCCCCTCTTCCATGCTACCTTGCTCTAGAGCCAGCCACTTAGAGACGTATACCTCTACAAACTGTGAGCTACAATAAACCTTTCCTCCTTTAAATTTGCTTGTCAGGTATTTTGTCTCAGCAGCGAAAAAAGTAACCAAGACATTGCCTGATTTTTTGATTTGCTATTGCTATCTAGAATGATTTACACATAACCAAAAAATCACCAATGGAAAAAATTCCAGGTTAACCAAAAAATTGTCTGTGTGTTTCAAAAATGTTAACAAGTATTTTCTAAACAAGATTGGAAACAGATTCTCTTTCTCAGGCAACAGAACCTGCAAGGATTCCTAGGGAATCTGGAAATAATCGTTTTTGCTCTGATAGACTGTGTTTTCCCCAAACCCCATCCCCTAAAATGTCATCATTTTACTTTAAGAATGTTCACAAGGTCACGGCTGATACTAAGTGTATAGACTCCAAATGTCTCTTTAAACCAAAGCAGAAAGGGCAGTTTAAGACTAAGACTTTCTGTGAGATGTTTAGTATTTAAAGACATATCAGTAAAGTGTGAAACACTTCATAAAATGTTGGAGCACTTGAAAATATTCATATGTCACAAATCCATAACTAAATTATCTCAGAATTTACATCTCATAACTTAAATGAAAAACATCTGAGTAATATGTCATAAACTTTGCCAGACCTGTGAGCAAATGAAACCCAGACCATTATCAGTTTTCAGCTTATTCTTTCTTTATGCTTAACAATCGACTATTATACGTGAAGCCATAGACAACATACTTTTTAAGACAAGGTCAAATTCAAATATCATGTTTATTCTCCCCCACAAGTATATTTCTCTTTTCATAAGTATACAAAGCTAATGTACTTAAGTAACAACATAAACTTCTGAGTCAGATGGAATGAAATTATCTAAATTTACCCTAAATTATTAGGGTGATTGTGGGGAAGAGAGTTATCAGAGCCGCATTCTTCATATTTATAAATTGTGTTGGGCAGCATGGTTTTCAGCTTAGAAAATACACTCATAATAATCATTATACTCTACCTCCAAAATATTTGAGCTATGCTCCTAAAAAGTGGAAAAAATCCACAATATACAGAATTACTTAGACTAAAACTTTGTTGTGCTCCTGAATCATTTTCTTTAAATAACACAAATACATACCAAAAATGTTTCTGAAGATTTCTGGAGAAATCTGTTTCCTAGATTAACATTTTGTTGCCTTTCAGCTCCTTGCCTGTAGGATCACAGAATGGACAAAATGTGGGTTCCTCCAATTTGAACCTGTTACAAAATCTCAAGCCTGGTGTGGTGGCGCACGCCTGCAATCCCAGCGCTCAGGAGGTTGAGGCAGGAGGATTGCTGTAAGTTCAAGCATGGACTACCCATATTGAATTTAAGGCCAGCCTGAACTACATAGTGATACCCTGACTCAAAAAACAAAAAAAGTGTTTCTCTTGTGAGTTAGAAGTTTCCTTATGCATACATAATCTTAGAGAAGTTTTGTCCCCTGTTCAGATTCTTTTGTTTTTCGCCCTACTGTCTTTGAATGCTTTCTTTGATGTCTTCTCTGGGTCGGGCTCCAAAAATGTATTTCAATAGTATATAATAAATAAATTCATTAAGCTGAAGTGAATGCCTAAAATGAGATTTTTAAAACTACATAATTTAATAAATTTTACTGTCTTTAACCATTGCACCTAATAATTCATCTTGTTTCCAATAAGCCCGCCTCGCTATGTTTCTCATAAAATGAAGTCCATGATGAACCACTGCCTAATGAATGCGGGTTCCATTCCACTAATAAGCTTGGTCTTGGCTGCGGACTTTTTGGAAGTGATGGAATATTACAAATGTAATCCACATGTAAGACTATGTGAAATGGCTGGGTAGCAACAATTCCCTGAAAGCAGGGAGAAATTTTTCCAGTTCAAGAGTAAGAGCCAGTGTGGGTTGGGGCGAATGCGAAAACTCATGGAATAATTGAGATATTGGGGGCAGGAAGGAATCTGAAGAAAGAGGGTGCAACCAATGGAGAGAGATTCTCCAGGAACCCTCAGACCTAAGACAATTTTTCCCCTCTCCTTAATGCCAAGAAGGCTCCGAAATTCCTTCCAACCATAGTTCCAAGGCATTTTAGGAGGGATTTTTTTGTTCCAGAAGGAAAATGAGTGGAAATCGTCCTTAGAGAAAGAGGACTGCTGCAAGAACATACTGCAGGTCTGTTAAATGACAGAAGAAGAGGGGGTGAAAGGGACAAAAAGACAGCTGCAGGTAAAGGAAGTGCTCTGCATCTTCAAGCCTGGAGACCAATGCAGACCAGAAGCGGGGGTGCTGTGTTATCAGGACCTGTGCTCGGAACAGAGGGTGTGTGAAAGGGGTTAAAAGCAGATCAGAGGACCCTACAGAACTAGTGTCTAGAACAAGGAGAAGACTTCTCAGTCGGCTGCCATGTTAGCTTTCTTAAAAGTAGGCAGATGCTCTCTGGGAAATGCAGAAGTCTAACGGCAGACAACCCCATCCATGTGGCTTTGGTCAGCACAGCTGACCTCATCCAAGCCAAGGAGGCATCTGACCTTTATACTCACTCGTGTAAATGCGAATTGCAAATCCTTTCCTTTAGCGATGTAAACCCTCAGTCTTAAAACAGTGTTGTGTGGAGAGCAGGCACCCAGCATCCTCTATATAAAACATTCCCACTTCTCTGAAGACAGTTATTAAATCACATCTCAGAACTTGGGTAAAAAAATAAAATAAAATAAAATAAAATAAAATAAAATAAAATAAAATAAAATAAAATAAAATAAAATAAAAATGCCAACTGCTGTTGTTCTGTTCCCCCTCCCCCAAAGATTCAATTAACGAGAGGAAAAGGTGGTGCGCTTTTAACAAGTTCTTCACGCTGAACTGCTTAGAGACGTATGTTAGGCCTCTTTTTAGTAATAGGAAAAAATTATCTCGTCATGACTCGGCTCTCTTCCCCACCTCCAGCCTACGACTGTAATCAATCAGCCGGACAGCAAGATTGATTTTCTAATTAAGCTGGCATTTGTGTAGGCGCAGAGAGCCACAGAAGGCTTCCCTACTGTATCTGCCCAGCACACCCCGATTTGTATTCATTTACCCTCGCGCGAGCTTTTGGAAGTCGGAAGGGAAAGGGTCAGTCACTCTTTCCCTCTCCCCGCAAATATCCAACAGGAAAGAATTCCATCAAATAGCTGACAAAGGAGAGAACAGCGCTGGGCCCGCTGTGGTTCCACGTGGGTGGGACTTGCCACCCACTTTACCCTGCCCCAGGACCCTGCCCTGGCGGCTGCCTGCCTTAGCCCTGCAGCCTACACAGATGGCTGGAGGGGGCCGGCTCTGAGCGTCTGTAGAAACTCCATTTCAAACACCGTTTGCCAAAATGGTATAGCAGGTTTGTGCCGGCCGAGCTGAGGAGATGTGCTCCCGATTTAATTTACTTAGGGGAAGAATATGAAATGCTGAACAGCTCAGCCAGAATCCGAGTGTCCTCCAGGACGCCACCGCGCAGGAGGAGGAGAAAACTTACTTTAGCAATTCTGGATCCAACGTGCGGGTCCTTGTTGCCCGAGACTGGCCTTCAGTGTGCACTGGGGAATAAAAGTGAAATCAGTCAGAAAAGCTTGCATCTTTTTTTAGTTCATCCCTGGTACATCCATTACCTAATATTTTATTTAAAAGCTCAGACTTTCCCTAACTCAAAAATGCTAAGTTCAATTTGGGGAACATTCTGCCCTGAACTGAGGGGAAGTTCGCATACTGTTTAAGGTTTAAAAACAAAATAGGAAGAAAGAGAGGTAGGTGGTAGAAATAAATAAAATGATGGAGGGGATGAATGTGTGCAATGGATTTAAGAAACAATGTGTTTTAAAGGCTTGCCAAAAATAGTGTTCAGGTAGTGCCATTAATATTTATTAAGTAACCTCTGGTCTTTGGTGTCCCTCTTCCAATCTTTCGTGTCCGCCTGGGCTAAACAAACACAACATACTCCAGATAGAACCCTTTACCCCTCCCTGAAACCTTGTTCTTCTCTGATTCCCCCAGGTCTCTGTTGCACCACTGTATACCTGATCAGTAGGTTCAAAACCTGGGTATCACTGTGAACTTAATTCTCCCTTGAATCCCACATCTAATAGGTTGCCTTATTCTATAAAGTAGGTGTCTGGTTAAACTAGTGAGTTTATTATCATTCCTTATTTAGTTTTTTGTTTTGTTTGGTACCGGAATTTGAACTCAGTTCTTTGAGCTTGCAAGGCAGGCGGCAGAACCACTGAGCTAAATCCCCAGCCCTATCATTCCTTATTGAGATCACTGCAATAACTTCCAAACAATTATTAGTGAAATCATTAGTAATATTCCAATTATTTCCCCCAAAGTATCTTGGATTCTGTCATTCTATCCTTCGATTTCCTGCAGCTTCCTACCTAGTCCTACCAAAGTATGAACTCATTCTCCAGTGGGCCTTTGAGTTTCTCACATGACACGAACAGCGCAGGCATTTGTTCAGGCGGTTGAGATCTTCCCCACCAGGAATAAAGATGTTTTGCTTGTCTAAACTTTTATTAGGTTCTAAACCTGCTCCTAGGCCTGTCTGTGTACTTCCTTATAAAATCCAGTTTTAACACAAACCTCATAAGTGGATTTGACAAGAACTCCATACCTTAAATATCAGATCACGCTTATTAGCTAACCATCTTTGATACCTTATCGGTTCTTTTACTCCATCATGGCCCAGGTGATATCTGATCACTTTAGCTGTCTGTAGTAAGAACTGCTTTAGATAAGTTTAGCCAGAGCCCTCCTTTGCCCTGACAGAATCTCTTATTAATTTCCCATCCTACCCCTTGACTATAAATTCCCAGTTGCCCACCCTGTGTTTGGAGTTCAGGCCAATCCTCCCAACACGCATGCACACACACACATGCACTGCAAATCATATGGTCATGGACCCTATAGCTATTGCAATGGTACTGACTTGTCTTCCTTTTCATGATTTAAGAAGTATCATTGAATAATTGCTTTCTTTATAGAGGCATTTGGAAGTTGTGTCAGACTCTGTATGGCTCAGTGACTACAGATCATAACTGTACTGAGTAGGACTAAATTTAAGATCCTAGGCATAAGACAGTCATATTGAGAAACACTATTTCACATCTGGAGAAATTTAACTTTACTCTTCCTCCAAATGTATATTACCTTGGTTATTACCTTATCCACTTTCAAATCATTCCCTGTGGTACCTCTTTCAAGCAAAGTGCCCCGATCTTCAGTACTTTGTGCACACTCACACACGTACACACACACACTGGACTTTCTCCATTGTGAATCTCAGTTAGGAATTCAATGCACTAGGGCTTTCACTGGCCTGATAGTACTTGTCTTAAATTGTAAGCTCCTTGAAATAAAATATTTATAATACTGTTTTATATAACTGATGCAAATTATACAGTGTTTTATGAGCAGAAAGTATTCAATGTGTGGATATTAAATTGATCTAGGTTGAGGCTCTATGCTGCCAATGGAACCCAGAGGCTCAGGGAGTTAGGTAGGACCTGCAGGATCAAGTGAGCAGTAAAGGTAAGAACAAGCCATATCCTCCAAAAGCAGAAGTCACAGCAAGCAGAGGGAAGCTGTAGCTTAACTATCTGAGGAAGAGAGCATAGCATTTCAGAGGAGAGGTCAGGCAAGAGCTCTGAGCCTCTGGGATTAGGCAAAGAGGGGCAAGCAGACACTAATGAGCAGCTCAAAGAGGCATAACAAACAAAAAGACAACTTAGAATAAAAAATGATTTCATCAACTCATTGGGTGGTCGGCAATCTGACAGGATGTACCAGGGGGAGTCGATCTGCCAAAGGGGAGCAGCTGCATGGCTATGGGAATGGGACACAGCTGAGCTGAGCTCCAGTTTTGCCCCAGGCTCTGAGCTGTTATGTGGTTCCTCTGAGGATGAGCATTCATCTTGGCTGCATTAGCATGAGCTCTGCAGGAGGAGACAGACCACTGGGAACACTTGGCCTGTGCGTTCACAGAAGTCAACAGTAGCTTTTCAAAGGAAAAGCTGTAGTAGGGCCATTAGCTTCCCAGCTGTTTGGCAGGAATGGTTGCAGGTTGTGAGGGGGAGAGATGATGTTTCCATGTACCCGCAACTACATAAGTCAGACCCATGATGGGCTGTTGAGAAGCAAAGTTACTTAAAGAATAACAACACCTGAAAGTCATTTCTGCAGAAAGACTGGAAGGAGGAAATGTTAAAAATGAAAAGAGAACTCCAAGATGAAAACAACTGTGGTTCATGCTGGGGTTGAAACTGAGGAAATAGAGTAAGAGAAAAATGAGAAAACATGCCAAAAACAAAATTTCAAATGAAAAGGTATTACTATTTCAAAAAGGAGGCTTTCACTGGAATACAGAGAACAAAGGCAGTTGTAGGGAAAAATTGTGGAACGGAGCTTTCCCCAGACTAGAAGGGTCACACTTAAGTGATTAGTATCCACAAACTGGTAGAAAGAGTTAGAACTGATAGAAAGATTTGGGAGAAACTGAGATTTAATTAAAGTTACATTTTGAAAAAGTAATAACCATTGGTGGTGGCAAGAATAATAAGAAAATTCTTCACTGGACACATATTTATTGGAGAACTATTTTAAGTGAAGTACTTTATTAAAGGAGGTGATCGTTGAAATATGCTTCACAGGATAGGAAGAATTCCCTAGCTAAAGAGGATAGCCCATTCCTAGGTAATGTAAACATCATAAACAATATCAGCAGTACATATTCCAGGGATATGAACACTCAAGGGTGCTGTGCTTTAGATATAAAATGCTTTCCTAAATTCTCATTTTCAGAGGTGGAGACTGGTTAGAAGATCTGGTCACTGGGGGTGAGATCTGTAAGGGTATATGCCTTTCCCCAAAACACACAAACTCTCTCTCTCTCTCTCTCTCTCTCTCTCTCTCTCTCTCTCTCTGTCTCTCTCTCTCTCTCTGTCTCTGTCTCTCTCTCTTCCTCTCCCTCTCCCTCTCCTGGGTTCCAGAGGAGAGCAGCTTTCCTCAGCCCTGCTATTTCCTCTACCATCCCATTTCTGCACTGGAGCCAGCTAAATATGGAATAAGTTCACTAAAATTGTGAGTCAAAATAAACTTCTTTTAAGATGATGCTGGGTATTTTGTCCCAGCAATGGAAAAATGGCTAATCCAGAAAATTAATACTGAGAATAAGGGGTCATTGCTAAAACTATGCCTGCCCATGTGGTTCAGGGACATATGGAACTAGTTTGCCAGAGAAGTTTGGTAAGATTTGGAGATGCAGGGTAGAGAAGCTCTAAAATACTGTGATCAGTGCTTGATATGCAATACTGGTCAGAGCTCAGAAGACCAGAATGCTGTTAGGAATGTGCAGAAGAAGGGTCAAGTTTATGAAATTTCAGTTGGGAACAAGGTCACCACTGGGAGCTGGCCAAGAGGACATATATATTATGATCTGATAGAAAATTCGTCTACATTTGGCCTGTGTCCTGAGACTTTGTGGGAGACTGAGATTAAGCACAGCAGACTAAAGAACGTGGTGGAAAAATATTCAAGACATTCCAATGTTTAGGCTGTGGCATGGTTATTAATGGCTGCTTTTAGCTTTATCTACAGAGAGAATCAGGAGCAAATTTTACAGCTGAAGGTTTTGAAAAGTTTTCACCTTTTTCAGAAAGTGAGAGCCTGAAAAATTTGTACAAAGGAGAGCACGGTTTCTGGAAAGAATGGCCTTTAAGATAAGCCAAGTACTTTGTACAGGGACAAAAAGAAAGATGCCTTAAGAGCATCTCAGAAATTAGCAAGACCTTTCTGATCACAGGCTCAAGGGTGAAGAAGCATAAATCTTTCATTTGCAAGACAGACTCTGGGATGCCTGTTTAATCAAGACTCCTAGGGAAGTATATCCTTGAGTTCAGTCATTCAGGCACTTGAGGCACCTTAGCCATGGTTCAAAGGGGCAGCTTTCCTCTGCTGTGCTGTTCTTCCATGTCGTTTCTGCCTTAGAGACAGCCAACTATGAACTGAACCCACTAAAACTGTGAGCCAAAATGAACCCCTCCTCCTTTAAGCAGTGTATGCTGAGTATTTTGTCCCAGCAATGGGAAAGTGACTAACACAAAATCTTGATGGATAAAAAGTAGCATGTAGGAGAGGAAGGATATGGGAAGAGTTTATCAGCAACACTGAAAAGTTTTAGCATCACCTGTCCAGTGGTGAACCACTAAGTGTCATAGAAAGAAAGGTACTGCAATCATGGAGTTAGTGAGAAAATATATTTACTGATCTATAAAAATAGTATTTGTTGAGGTGGAGAATTACAACTCTGAATTTGCATGTACAAAAGTCACTTTTCTTCTTGCCTCTCATGCCACTGAATATTCTTGTAATGATATTTGCTTTAAAATACTGGCAATGAGAAACATTCTGTGAGTTTCCTGGACTTGGGCTGCTGCCATCCTCAGCATGCTCCTTTAACTTTGAGTCTCAGTTGCATTCACAAAGGAATGGTGACAGAGTTAATTAGAGGAAAAGTTAATTAGAATCTAGCTCTTCTAAAATTTCT